AAATAACTTTGATGTATTTAATATTCAAATGTTTATTTGAAGTTTATAACTTCACAAGCCACAACAGCGATTTACTTCGCTGTGGAGTCCCTTGATTTAATGCCCCACCCCCCTCTCCAGCACACGTCCGATATTTCGCCCCCCTCCCCAGCATATCATCAGTTTATTCAGTATAACATTGCTGCTAGGGACTGGTGTTAAATTTAAATTAATTTGTAGTCAAAGCTGATCACTACATGGTGTATGAAACAATTCGATTCAGATCATAACCTCAAATTAACGAATGAACAAACCCGATATTTGAGTGAAGTCGGTGATATTTGAGTGAAGTCGGTGATGTTTGAGTGAAGTCAGTGATATTAGACATTAAAAAAATTACTTAACACACTGAAAAAGACAGAATTAAGGGACAAGCAATCGTGAACAGTTGCGGCACTCGTGTTGGTGTCACCCAGTGCGGTAAACTCATGGTGTCACACCTTCCAGACTTTCATGTGGACCTCCTCCACATCTGCTTTCTCTGGTGGCACCCTGTTCTAGTGGTAACCTGCTCTGGTGGCACCCTGTTCTGGTGGTAACCTGCTCTGGTGGTAACCTGCTCTGGTGGTGCCTTGATCTGGTGGTAACCTGCTCTGGTGGCGCCCTGTTCTGGTGGTAACCTGCTCTGGTGGCGCCCTATTCTGGTAGTAACCTGCTCTGGTGGCGCCCTGTTCTGGTGGTAACCTGCTCTGGTGGCGCCCTGTTCTGGTGGTAACCTGCTCTGATGGCAACCATCTCTGGTAGCATCCTGCTCTTGTTTCAACAAGACTAGGGTGGCAAACTGTCTGGCGGCACCCTGTTCGCGGAAAATCCTGTTCTGGTTTCACCCTGTTCAGGAGGCACTCTGTTAGTGTATTGAACTAAGATCGCTCACGAAACTGTCTTTAAGGAAATCTGTTAAATTTCTTTTTTTGTTCTTTCCATTTTGATACCACCAAATGTGATGGTGTCACCCCCCCCCCTGTGATGGTGTCAATTGGTACAGTCAGCAGCCAATCTGACGCCACTACAAACGATTTTTTTTTTTTCTGGAGAAATCGACTCTAAATTACGACTCGCTCTGGGCTCTGGGCGTCACAGACTTTACTTATGCAATTTTAATCTTAAGGAGAATGGCCGACATGCTCGTATGGAGCCCTACGTGCAAATGGCAGCTCTTCCTGGTGACACTTCCTCCTGTATTTAACAACTATCTGAAGCGAGCTGTCAAACTGCCATGTTGCATCTGGTGTCAGCCCCCCCCCCCACCCTTTGGGAGAACAAAGTATTATTTTACTCCAAAAGTATATTTATATAACATTAATTGTTGCAATGACAAAACAAAACAAAAACAACAACCATTTTTTCCGCCCCCCTCAGAAGAACCGCTCGGGATTTCGCCCCCTTCGCGTCCCCCCCCCCCAGTACGCCACTGCCCCCGCGCCTGAAGTCTGACCTATTTATTACATGGGTCACGTTATCAACACTGAATGTGTACGTTGCTAAGAAAATAATTCTCTGACTTAAAAGTGTTCACCGGTGACAGTTGCAGGAAATGACAGTTCATCATGACAGGCAACAGTAGCCAGGGTCTTGGGACTTGAAATATGTTGTTGGTCACCCCCCTCCTCCCCCCACACACACACACACCTCGCACACACAGACACACATAACCTCACGTGTACACTGTCTAAGTTATGGATTGCTAGGTAAGCAATGATTGATACATTGGTTGAAATAGGATTGTTTGTTCATCTGTAGGTGACACTCAAGACAGACCACCTACTGCCGGACTAAAATAGCATTGTTTAATATATGTGTTACTGAAGAAAGACCTACTGCCGGACTAAAATAGCATTGTTTAATATATGTGTTACTGAAGACTGACCTACTGCCGGACTAAAATAGCATTGTTTAATATCTGTGTTAGTGAAGACAGACCTACTGCCGGACTAAAATAGCATTGTTTAATATCTGTGTTAGTGAAGACAGACGTTCAGCTGGACAAAGCTTTCATTTTTTAATATCAAGATGAAGCTGAAGGATACCCACAATTTTTCAAACAATTTTTCAAAGATCAGGCATAAAACGGTTATGTCACTCTTAGTTCAACTAACCGAATAGCATGACCCTATCAAACTTAAATATAATGAAATCGTCTGCTAACCTGGAAACCCAGCCCCAGCGACTGGGGCTCACGTGTATTACAGCAGCGCCTCGTCACTATAAATTTTCTTACTTTTATGAGGAAAGGAGGTCTCCAGAATAAAAAAATGATTCAGTTGAGGCTACCCGATTGCAAGGTTGAGAACCACTGGGGCACAAGATCTAAAGGCAGTCACTCCGATCTACAAAAAAGGAGAACATTACGACCCAGCCAATTACCGCCCTCTATCCCTCACTAGCGTAGTATGTAAACTATTGGAGCACATAATCGTAAGCGCGGTCATGAATCACCTGGAGAGAAATAATATACTCAATGACTGTCAGCATGGCTTTCGAGTCAACAGATCATGCGAGACCCAACTCCTTGAATTTGCTGAAGAGTTGACGACCAACTTGGAGAACAGCAAGCAGACTGATGTGCTTGTGCTGGACTTTTCAAAAGCGTTTGACCGTGTCAACCATAGCTTGCTATTGCACAAACTGCATAGATATGGGATCCAAGGCACTACCAAAACATGGATCTCTAGCTTCCTCAGCGACCGATGCCAGGCAGTAGTGGTAGATGGCAAAACCTCCTCCTTTGTCAGTGTTAAGTCAGGGGTCCCCCAGGGCTCAGTGCTAGGCCCTTGTTTGTTCCTAGCATATATCAACGATCTGCCCGAGAAGCTGACCTCTCAAGCAAGACTGTTCGCAGACGACACGGCGGTATATAGGACAATGGTCAACAGCTCTGACCAGAGCCAGCTTCAACAAGACCTCAATCGGTTAGCTGAGTGGGAGATAAGCTGGGACATGGAATTTCATCCCGTCAAGTGCCAAACCCTGTCAGTCTCCAGAAGCAGGTTCCCTCTAAACCACTCTTACGAACTGCATGGCCATATTCTTGAGCCAGTTTCCTCCGTTAAGTACTTGGGTGTTACCATCCAAAGAGAGGTCCGCTGGGACGAGCACATTAACAGTGTGTGCAACCGGGCAAACAAGACCCTGGGGTTCCTAAGGCGCAATCTGAAGATCGGCAACTCAAGCGTGAAAGAAAAAGCCTATAAAGCCTTTGTCCGACCTATTTTAGAGTACGCTTCTACAGTCTGGGACCCATTTACCCAGAAAAGCATAGACAGGTTGGAGGCGGTCCAGCGACGGGCAGCACGCTTTGTCATGAACCGCTACAGAAGCACCTCGAGTGTTGGCAGCATGCTGGAAACACTGGGCTGGTCGACATTGGAAGAACGACGACGACTATCCAGGCTCACCATGTTGTACAAGATAAAAAATGGGCTGGTGCACTGCTCCGGAATCAAACAGAAACTCGTTCATCTTCCCCCCAGACTGCGACGAAGTCACGACAAACAGTTCCGGCTGGTAAAAACAAGAACGAAGTACAGAAGCTCCTCATTCCTGCCGAAGACAATAGGGGACTGGAACAAGCTTCCAAAAGCAACAGTTGAGGCGGCTACACTCGATACATTTGTGTCTATTGCCTCCTGTATTCCAACCCCCAGTTCATAACACCACTGCTGAGTCGCCCTTGCAACCAGTGAAGTATCCCATTGAAACCCATGGACAGTAACATCGCAAACCTCTCTGAAACATAGGAGCCAGAATGATCAATTCATTGATCGTGGGCCCTTAAAATAAAGAAGAAGAAGAAGACTTCGATGCAAGATTTAAAGGCAGAATTTGACAAAAGATTTAAAGACAGACTTTGACACACGGTTTAAAGACAAACTTTGACAAAAGAATTAAGGACAGACTATAACAAAAGATTGAAAGACAGACTTTGACAACAAATTTTAAATACAGACTTTGACTCACTAACCACCTGTGCCACTAACTGCCTGTCTCACTAACTGCCTGTCTCGCTAACTGCCTGTCTCACTAACTGCCTGCCTCACTAACCCTGTTTCTCACTAACCCCCTATCTCAATAATGGCCTGTCTCACTAACCACATGTCTCCCGAAACTAACATCTCACCAACACCATCTCTCACTACCCACTTATCACTAACCCAGCATCTGAACCCGGTTCTCTCTAACCAATCCTCTCACTAGTCCCTTGTCTAACTAACCTCGTGTCTCACTAACCCGGCATCCCACAAACTCCATGTCTCACTAACCCATCATCTCACCAACTCCATGCCTCGCTAACCCATCATCTCACTAACACCGCGTCTCACTAGCTACTGTTCAGGCCTGGCAGATTTGCAGTACACAAGCTGTCGAATCATGAAACAAGATCGACGTTCACTCGAAGCCCATGTGACGTTGTAAGAGTACACAACTGTACGATGTGTCGTCGTCACCCTCGTAACCCGTCCCTGTGTCCCTTACCTGCTACTGACGGGGCGCGGGCGCCCGCCCCCCCCCCTTTTCACACACACGCGACTCTCTTTACCACACGCTCCTTTTTATGAACTGTTCTAATAAATAAAACATAGGCCCTGTCTCCCCCACCCCACTTCCTCCCCCGTCCTCAAAATGACAAAACCGTCTCCCAAATAACACGAGACATGAGAAAGTTCGTCTTGCGGCCACAGGGCTGGAGGAAAATTTAAATACCGGTATGCAAATTCTGGTCATCAGCCGAAGACCTGCACAGCCAGGCAATTAGTGTGCTCGTGGACAGCTCCAGGTAAACAGCGGGTCTATTTTAGCCTAGATTATTTCAACAGTTTTCTGGGGGAGGGGCGACGTTGGATTGTGTTGAAAGCACTCGAGAACAAGTAAATTACATTCATTGTTGAGGCATCATCAGCTTTTCAAGACCGCAGATGTGAACTACTTCTTATGTTTTATGTGTGTTTTGGTTTTCATTCAAAAGTACAAGAGGCTCATTGGACAAGACGTTTTGCGTGTAAATAATCATTGGAGAACACTTCAAGTATACAGCTTGATTAAATACGTTATAAAACCTGCTAAGTGAGATTGTTTTTAATGTTGGAATGCTGAGCCCATGTGTGAAGTAAGCCCTTGTTCATTAGTGTTGCTAAGTGAGACTGTTGAGTTACTTTGAATTACTGCGCGCATGTGTGAAGTAAGTCCTGGCTCAGTGGTGTTTAGCTAGTCTGTCTTTCTTACCTCGTTACTGTGATGTTCGATTTTGTTTCGGAGATATGTCTTTCTAGTACGTCTTTCTATTTGAAGTATATCTATGTACCATGAACGACATATTTAATCAACCGTATCCGTTAAAATGTAACCATTTTTTGTGTGAAAATTCCCCCTTGTCTCACTCTGCGTAAGATGTACACAATTAATGATGACGTCATTTGTTTTCTCTCCCCCAGAGTTCAACGGATGAACACATTTTTGAAGCCCTTGGACTTTGTAATCTACACCGTGATCGTTTAAAACACCAACTCAGATATCGTCACGCAGAAACCTTGTGTGAACAGAATCTACAGACAATTAATATCTTAAATTCAAATCAATCATCGATCTACTGAAATCTTAAAAAGACATTACCTGCCCTGGAGTACCAGCAAGGAAAGCTTCTGAATTAAATAAAAGTTGACATTTCACAGTCACCATGACTTGCACAGTATTTGCCAGCGGTCTCCTCGCCGCCGTGTGCCTCATGGGTGCGGCTTGGTGCGCCACACTGCGGCCCGTGATGGAGAGTGGTACGCTGAAGTGCAACCTACGAAACAGAGACCCGTGCGCCAATTTCCCAGACTTGTGTTCTACAGTCGGCGGAAGTTGCGTTGTCAAAGTGAGTAAATTATTGTTTTTTGATATTGTATTATTGTAGGCGGACCTCATGATCTCAGATATAAACAATTTTTTTTTTGAGTGTTGGACAATTACATCATTTTAAGCTTCTTTAAGTTACAAAAAAATTACATACACGTCAAAAAGCACAGCAGGATTTTAATACAAGTTTTGTTGAGATAATGGACGAATGACATTTTTTTTCTCATAATTTAGGGCCCCCGATCAATTTATTGATCATTTTGGCTCCTGGTTTGAATTCAGAGTTAGCCTTCTCTTAGATAAGTTGCCTCCCAAGGCTAACGAGTCCCATCCACCCGGGGTGCTTGACTGGGCTTTGGCTGGAATTGAACTCCAGACCACAACCAGTTTAGACCATTCGGCCACCCAGCAATATTTACAATTTAAAAGTTAATTTATCAATAAAAAGAAAGAGTCAAACCCACATCAATGGTTGAAAAAACCAAGGTTGCGCTAACCACCATTGACCTAACCACTACTGAATTAGCCAGTGTGTATGGAAAGACAATGCTCTGTATGGCAAGACACTGCGCTGTGTATTGAAAGCTAGGCGATGGAGATAATTTTGTGACCTTTTCAGAAAATTTGAAGAAAAAAAAAGTTTATTATCATTTTGTTAAAATTGCATTCTGCCTAAATTTTCAAATAAATTCAAAATTCTCAATGGTTTTTAAATAATGTAACATTTCTCATGTTTGTGTATTTTTACAGGGCCCATGTCAATACGAGTGTGTGTGCCCCACGAGCGGAAGACCTGGTGGCAACTGCTCGCCCAAGGCGGCGGCTGGCTCTGCGGTCGTCGCTGACAAAGTGACGGACTTGCGCCCGGCAGAAACCGAAAGTCTCTTGGTCTTCTCTCCGGGACTTTTCTGGGACCTGAACCACGTGGACAGTCGCGGGGAGCTCATCAGGTCAAGCCAGCAGACGGCGCCGCCAGCAAAAACGTCGACGACGACTACCACATTGAAAACGACGACGGCGTCAACCACATCCACTACAACAAAACCGACAACCACATCAAATGCCGCTCAACCCATGACGACCACAGCGTCTTCGCAACAGGTCACTACCGCCGAGGATGGCCTCACCACTCTTGACACGGCCAACGCGTCTGCTGACAACGGCTCCGACGATCAAAGATTCACCACTGAAACCTCGGGCACGGATGACGTCTCGCAACCCCAAGGGGACACCACTCTCTCCCTGAGCTCCGGAGACGTCACAACTTCCGACGCGGTTGACGTCGACAATGCGTCCTCCCCCGCCTCCTCGCCGTCGTCTTCTCCTCTCATCTCCAGCCTGTACCCCGCTCCCGCGGCGGTCAAGTCACGTGACAACACCGCGGCCGCCGCCAGCGGTTCTCCCGCCAGCGAGATACACGACATCCTGGAAAAAATCAAAACCTCGTTTGAGCTCCTGACGTCACACATACTCGCCAGTGAAAGCTCCAACGCCACCGCCAAAAGTCACGTCGTGTCGGACACGAGTGGACAACCTTCGCTACAGGCAACGGGTGTGGCACGCCCGGCGGACAAACTGTCTTCCAAAACTTCCGCAGACCAGGTACAAAGGGACACCACCAGCAGCCCAGTCCATTCTAGCTTACACGCAGTCACAAAGTCAACAGTCAAAGTTTAAGTTTTTTTATTTTAAATGAAATTATGACGAGACACTCATTCCATTGAATTGTTTAATTTATCTCCCTCATGTTAACTTATCTCCCATGAATAACATGTTCTTAGTAAAAACATGGATATGATGGACCTGACATTTTTTCATCCATCAAATTGAATCCACATTGGATAACATCGATACGAATTTATGATTTTTTTTCGAAATCGTGTTTCTCATCAATCATCTATAACTATTTAGTGTTAAAACTATTACATGGAAAATTGTGCTGAAACTATGGGACGGCAAGTTGTGCTGGAACAATGACATGACAAGTGGTACTGGAACTATGCCATGACAAGTTGTGCTGAAACTATGAAATGGTAAGTTGTGCTGAAACTATGAGATGATAACTTGTGCTGGAACCATGAGATGATAACTTGTGCTGAAACTATGAAATGATAAGTTGTGCTGAAACTATGAGATGATAAGTTGTGCTGGAACAATGAGATAAGTTGTGCTGGAACAATGAGATGACAAGTTGTGCTGGAACTATGACAAGTTGTGCTGAAACATACTTCCAGCCAACAGTGGAGTTCTCAACTTACGTTGCTGAGTTTATTGAGGCCTTGTGATAGAGAATGTACCCTTGCTAAAGAGCCTTGATACACGGGCCCAGTGCGGGGGGGGGGGTGAGTGATGGTCAACATTTGACTAATAGGATCTGACCACAGAAAGAAATCCCGGGCAAAGTTCAGTTGTGACCTCACCATACAATGCTAAAAGACAAATTGGCTGATCAAACACTCACCTACACTGCCAGTCAAACGCAAGACACGTGATATCTCTTCGTGACTACCCACAGCATTGCGAACCTTTCTTTGTCTGAGATGTTGGTCCACAAGGAAGTCGGGAGCTGTAAATATATAGTTGCTGTGAACGTAATTAACAAACATTTATGCATTGATCTTTATCGTAACTGTTATCACGTCTTATCATGTGCAATCTCAAACTACAAATGATACAAGAATAAATCTACAAATGATAAAAGAATAAATGATTTATTAATTGTGATGGAAAATTGAAATAAACAATATTATGTTATCTTGGCTTTTATTTGTATTTTCACTTACTTTTAGAGTAATTTTTGTGTATGATAATCTAAATAACTCGCATATATTGTGAGTACAAATTAAACTATGATGGTAGCGGATAATCCTTACTTATAAATAGATTTCTACCCTGCTAACACTGAAACCTTACAGTGCATGTTAAGAGATGGTCAAATGATCAGGGTGCTGGGTGGTCGAATGGTCAAAACTCAGCAAATCTCAAGTTAGTAGTCTGGAAATCAATTTCAGCCATGTCCTTCCCCTGGTGGATGCGACTCGTTAGCCTTGGATGGCAACTCATCTAAGAGAAGGCCAACTCTCAATTCAAATTGATTGTGGGCCCTCAAATACGGAAAACAAAGTACGTCACGACCCACAAAAGCACGCCCCAGTCGCCTTCACTTTCAATGTTCCCATTGTCTCGCTTGAAAATCATCGTCATACACAGCTAACACTTTTCTGTATTGCCATAAAACCATCTTTATACACAATCCGCACTTTTCTATGTCTTGCTGTGATTATAGGTGTGGATGTTTTAGGGTAGCATCTGATCGCCAGACAATTGCAGCTTGAACGATGTGAAAAGACCCGTCCAAACAAGACACAGACCTGATATCAGAAACAATGCGACGAAGACATGTCATCAGAAACAATGCGACGAAGACATGTCATCAGAAAAAAATGCGACGAACACATGTCATTAGAAACAATGCGACGAAGACATGTCATCAGAAACAATGCGACGAAGACATGTCATCAGAAACAATGCGACGAAGACATGCCATCAGAAGCAATGTGACGAAGACATGTCATCAGAAGCAATGTGACGAAGACCTATTATCAGAACAATGCAACAAAGACTAGGCACCAGAAACTTTGACTTCGAGTTGATATATGAGGAAGAAACCTGTTTTCTTAAACATCTAATAGTGGGATGGGAGGAAAAGTTAAGGAACAAGACGAGGAAAATGAGACCAACAAGGAATGAGACCAGGGAAATGAGACCAACAAGGAATGAGACCAGGGAAATGAGACCAACAAGGAATAAGACCAGGGAAATGAGACCAACAAGGAATAAGACCAGGGAAATGAGACCAACAAGGAATGAGACCAGGGAAATGAGACCAACAAGGAATAAGACCAGGGAAATGAGACCAACAAGGAATAAGACCAGGGAAATGAGACCAACAAGGAATAAGACCAGGGAAATGAGACCAACAAGGAATAATACCAGGGAAATGAGACCAACAAGGAATAAGACCAGGGAAATGAGACCAACAAGGAATAAGACCAGGGAAATGAGAGCAACTATTGTTGGAGCTAAACATCATAAGATGTGTGAACTCCCCACACAATATATATAGTAATTAATTTTAGTCATGTACTTCATTCACTATGTGAAAACCATATTTTACTTTTAAAAGGAGAGAGAATTATAGTTTCCAAAATAATCCAGAAAGAAATGCTTAAGGACATTTAGGGCGTGATAAATGTTTGGCTAGAGCAAAAGAAGTACTTTTCTCGCCGGGAATGACATTTCAGGTCATAGACATTGTATCTAGCTGCTCAGTATGCAGTGAGTATCAAAGGTCTCAGCAAAAATATCCTATTATAGACCACGAAATCCATGCGCTGCCTTGGGGAAAAATCGGATCTGATGTTTCCATTATACTGGAAAAACAATTTACTTTTGTTGATTACTACAGCATATTGTTTGAGTTTAGTCTCATTACATCTCTCAAAACTTCTGATGTGATTATTCATATGAAGGCTCAATTAGCTCGCCATGGCCTTCCAAGAGAAGTAATTAGTGGCAATGGACCACAATTTCCCAGTGGAGATTTTCTCAATTTCTCCAAACAATGGGGATTTAGTCACATCACTTCAAGCCCCTGATACCCACAGTTCAATGGCGTGGCTGAAAGAGCAATCCAGACAGTAAAGACACTTTTAAAGAAAGCTCAAGCTTTAGGCCAAGATCCATATCTTGCCCTGTTGCCGTTTAGAAATGCTCCAGACCCTGATGGACCTTGACCTGCACGGCTACTCATGGACAGACGCCTAAGATCATCCCTTCCAGCGACTGATGCCTACCTAAAGCCAAAAGTTCCAAATCCAAAAGAAATGGCCAACATCTGGAACAGAAGAAAAAACGACAAAGTAAGATATTACAACTGTTACGTAATGTCATCCGTGTGGAGAAATTAATCTCTTATTTCAGTGTATGGCGCGTTTTAAAAAAGAACACAACAAGATGCGATACCATATGTTAAATACAATAACAAAGAATACGATACTTAAACCAGGGTTAATTACAATTGATAAGTTTTATTAAGTTAATAATAACTAGTTACAAAATAAAGAAAGAAATATAATTAAAACTATTGACTTACAGAATAATGTTTGGCTTGTACCGGTACAGTGTTGAAGAAGATACAATGTTGAAGAAAACACAATGTTGAAGAAAACACAATGTGCAAAAAGGGTACAATGATGAAAAGGAATCTACACACACACAGTAAACAAAGTTCTCTAGCAAAAAAGCACACGTTCATAAACTCTCGTCTGTCGTCTGGTCTGCTGTCATTCAATCAATCGGCTTTATACAACCTGTTTCTTTAGATGATCCAAGAACAGACTACGCATTGTAATCATGTCTCAAACCTTCTACAAGATTCTACAAAATTCTAATAAAAACAGACCATAGATTATCGTTATTAACGAAGTCCATGGGAAACTATAATTAGTAAGCCACGCCTTACTAATAGTGCAGTGCAGCCGAATTGGGGTCAGCTAAGTTCATTCACCAAAAAAGATGAATGAAAGTAAAATGGGACGCCTCTATAACAACAACATAACGGTGAAACTCACGGGCCGTCCACAGATTCAGCCTGTTAGCAGTGTCCTTATGCAGAACAAGCCTTGGAGCTCATGGAAACCAGCAGTAGTTTTCTCAGAAGCCTCCACACCAAGGTCATACATTTGTCAAAAACACCAGATGGGATGGCGTATCGATGAAAAGATAAAATGTTGAAAGAGACATTTGGCGAGCCAAGCAGTGCTCTGGGCAGCCCCGATACAACATATGACCCCAAAAGCTACCAACCCATAAGTTAAAAAAAACAAAAAACTACAGTAAATATATGTCGCTACCAAGTGCCATCAATTCTATTCCAGCACAAGTGGTAAAATAAAAAGAAAAGATATGACAGGCAAGGGAAACCACCAATACGCTTTTCCTGATAGAGACATATGAAATATAAATTGATATAAAATGCAAGTCAATATTTGAGCAATTTTTGCATAGTAAGATGTTGGACAACATTTCACTATTACTATTGATATAATAGAGCATACATAACTTTCTTTTTGGATTAACTATTGATTATTATTAAGAGGGATTTGTGACAGTGTGTATGACTGACGATTATTGTTATGTTTATTGATTGAGCTTTGTGACATAACGGTCCTGTGGTGTTGTCATGTTATGTGACCGGGCGTGGTGGGTTGTTTTCATGAATGTTTAAACGTAAACGTGTGAGTATTGTTTGGAGAACTGGAGTGAGTGGTCATTTGACGAGGGGGTAAAAAAAAGAATGTAGAATGGGGATAAAGGGGGAGGGTGTCACAGATACGAGACAATGATTTACAAGGGAGTTAAGTAATGTGAGAATTATCACTTGTAAAATAAAGAGTATGAGCACTTGAAAAAGGAACCGATCATAGAAGAACAAAGATGGAGTCGAAATGATGGCGGTTACTAAGTCCATATTGTGTTTTAAGGTTTGGTCATAGTATAGTGATACCTTTATCAAGCGGAGAAGTCACCGAGAAGCTTTATTCTAAGTGATTTTGGGATCAGTTCAATTATTAACTATTTATTAGTATTATTGTGATCGTGTATTTTAGCATATAATAAACATTAATACAGTATTGTCATTATTCACTTGGATCCACAACGCTTCTGTTGTTATAGATAATAACTCGATTGTGATTGTGAGTGATTGTCAATGTGACAGTTGGGGTATAAAAAGAATGTAGAATGGCGAATAACGGTTAGTTGTTACACAGACCTTACACTTCATTTGGTATCTTATTATATATACTATATATATTATATATGTTATATATAACATTCCTAGCTTTCTGAATTGTCCCAAAGGCCAGTCATCCTGTCCATTGATGCTTGGCAAAAAAGGATTTGGAGTAGCATTAATTCAAAGTGAGAGACCATCGGTCTACCCGTCTGGGTCTTTAAAAGAATGAGAAACAAATATATAATTGACAAGAAAAAAGAAATGCTTGCCGTTGTGTTCGGAGTTGAACATTCTCATTACTACGCATGTGGGCGCCAAGCAACATTAGAGACAGACCAGAAGCCGTTGAAAGTGATCATCAGAAAGACTTTGTCATCTGCACACTGCATAGACTTTAGAGGACGCTCCTACGCCTCGTGAAGTAATAATAAAACCCTCTTTGAATACAAGCCTGGCAAAGAATTCTTTATTATAGATTCTTATGCAGTGCATGGACTCTAAAAACCAAGTTGCCACGAATTATCATAGAGGTAATTAGGGCAGACAACGCTTTCTATCTTGAGTTTGAAATGGGATTTAGGATTGTAAACATTTCCAGTGGCATGCAACATGCACGTTTAAAAAAAAAAAAATATTTCGTATTCAGCTGAAAAGAAAAGGTTGTTGCCTTATTTTTTTTTAGTTTGAAATTATAAAAACAAAACATTCAGACACAATCTTGAACTGGGTTTGCAGAAATCTGTGGCGTCAGGAAACGCCTGCCATTTATCACACTGTATGACGGCTGGACGTTAGAAAATGTTAGCCGGTTCTGGGCGGTGGCCCGCTAACTCATGCATAAAATCTCTGGGCTAGTCATGCCTCGGGTCTCTGGGGCAACCTGACCTATGCCGTTGCATGACGTGGCTAGCATTTACCATCTGGTGGCAGCCATGCTTGTGATTGTGTCAGTCATGAAGA